TACTTTGCACGTTTACCTGACATTAGCCCAAAGAAACACTGAAGCTGGAAATGTAATTTATAGCCTGTGTATGGCTGTTTTTTACTAGTCCACAGTGTCATTGGAACTCTGTGTGCTTTCTTCATGTGCAGTACAGTTTAACTTGGGACAGTTGAGCAACTTCCGGGAGCAGGAAAGGTGCGTCCGATTGTTGGATCCTCGTATCAGGTGTCTTAAAGTCCCCCGAAGTGCTGAAGAGGAGAAATAAAAAATGAGGGGGTCCAAACAGGCATTAAAAGTGCTGAGAAGCAATGCATACACTCTCCAGTGGGGGCTGTGTGATCCAAAAAAACCCACAACATGGGACACATTGTAAGGCATGAAGCAGATGATAAAGACCAGGAGGGTGGCTAGGGCAAGCCCAATGGCCCTGGAGCGCTTCTTAGGTGCGATGTTAGGTAGCCGGGAGAGAATGTGGATGAATTTGATGTAGCAGAAGCAGCAGATGATAAAAGGGGTGAAGAACAGCACGATGAACAACTCCAAACGGACAGGCAAAAGGATGTCCAACTGTTCTTTGCTAAACTGATCATAGCAGACTTTGCCTTCCAGATCAGAGAGAGTTTCATTATTGGGCCTATAGTACTGCATAATGTAGACAATACTGCAATGGGCCATGGAAACCACCCAGAATGTGACACTGGCGATCACGGCATTTCGAGGATGCCGCTTGAGTTTGTACTTGATTGGAAAGGCCACTCCCAGATAGCGCTCCACACTGATAGCTGTTAAAAGCATGGTGCTGTTGTAAATGGTTGCGTAGAAGAAGAACCCCGAAAGTGGACAGAGAAAGTGGCTCAGGGTCCATTTCATGTCGGTCACCTCTTTCATGCGGAATGGAAGGAAAAAAAGGAAGATTAGGTCTGAGATGGTGAGGCTGAGCAAGAGCACATCGATGGGCGTAGCTCGCTGCTTCACTTTTTGAACAAAGGTGTAGAGAGCCAGCAGGTTGGCAGGAACACCTGCAATCAGTGTGATGGCATCCACTGCCAGGACCAAATTTCTCAGATCATCTGTCCACATCGTTGGCTTTTAAGGCAATCTATAGAAAGAGAAACATTTTAATTTTACTTGAAAGTATAATTCTCTTCAATTCACCATTTCATTTCACAACTGATAGGCAGGATCTCAAATGCTTTATGACCACCAATTACCAAAGGCCCTCATGCTGAATTCCACATGAGGCTTACTGTTAGAAAAGACTCTGTGTTGCCAGTGCTTTCCAGAATGATTTTTGTAAGATGCTCAGTCTATATAAACCATTAAGCTCCATTTACACACTTTAGAAATAACACCATTTCACCATCACAGCAAGGGTTTCAGTTATTTAAAGGATCCTCCAACAAATTGTTTTCCTATCAGTAGAACCTTTTTTTGGAACCCAAGAACCCTTCCATCACAACTATCCAATGAAGTGTGTGGTACATACTCCAAATTATTCATTTGTTCATCTTCATTATCCTGGTCCACCTTCATCCGGCAGAGCCAGAGCCTATCCCAGGAACACCAGGTGCAAGGTGGAAATACACCCTGAATCGAACACAGGTCTATCACATGGTATCATGCACACACAAATTCACACCCATTTACACTGTTGGGCAATTTAGAGTAGCAAGTGCATCAAAGTGGGGACCCTGGAGCCGTGAGGTGGCAACACTACTTGCTGTGCCACAGTCCTCTCCTAACTCAAATTTCTTTGTAATTATTTTCTTCTTAATACCTAAGACATGTCAAGCATTTAAAATTTTATCTGAACTGTCTTAAATAACACAGATGCAATTGTCTGATAGTTTGTGGGGTAGAAAGAACTCTATCTTTAAGACAAAACATAGAACCAATAATAAATAGACTTCACCCATCAGCCTTGCTGTGCAGTCAGTTGTGCATCCAGTATTGGTCAGAAGGACCCTAAGGCTATTACACTCTTCAGTGCTTCTTAGCCGAATCCTTTTTTTGGAAGCGAAGAAACCTTTCTTAATGGGATACAAATAAGAAGAAAAATATCTGATAGTGTTTAATATACACTCAGGGAAAAGGCATTCTTCAAATGGCTCTTTAGATCCTTAAGGGTTCCTAGCCTCCAAAAAAAGAGTTCTACTCAGAAAGGGATACTGGTAGGAAGGTAAATCTGGAATGCTGAGTTTAATACACGCTTAGAAAAAGGATACTTCCAATGGTTAATTGTATAGGTAAGGGTTCTGCCTAAACTCTGAAAGCTGAAAGGGCAGAAGTGTTCTGTTGTAGGGTTGTACACTGAACCTTTAAGGGTTCTCCCAGAGGAACAACCAAAGAACCGTTAAGAGTGTAGCATTACGTGTACCTGGTAATAAAGATTTTTAGATGGCCATAACATAATATTTAATTAATATAAATGTGTGCAGCACAAATTTGAGTATTAAACTACAGTCATTCTAGGCATTCATTATTTAAGCTGCAAAAGTTCGGCAGTTAAAGATTATCCTCAGAGTAAAGGGTTTCTCTAAAGGTAATAAGAAGAAATCCCTTCCAGGGAGGAATTATAAAATGTTGGGGAAAGTTAATATAAATGCAAAAATTTTCCACTCCTTTAATAGAATGGTAAGACAGTAGAGTTACTCTACATTTTCCTTTTTTAGCAGAAGGTTAAATAGTTGTACCTTAAAACACTTCACTTTGAGCAGATCTGTCTCAGGTGAGGTAAAAGGTGAGGGACAGGTTTAACTTAATTTGTATGAACAACCGAACTTGCTGTCATGCATTACAATTTCTACTCATTTTCCTTGAGATTGCTTGGAGAAGTTCTTTGAATGTAGGGATTATAATGGATGAAGTAGTGGAATGATTTTTGTGTGGAAGGCTAAGAAATGACAGAAAATAGCATCAAAAATGCACCAATAGTTATGCTAAAAGTAGACCAATTAGGTGCAAGCATGTCCAATTCTCCTTAATATTCCACTGATTTAACTTCAACCAGTCAGGGCAAATTCAGATTATGTTTGAACAGGTTGTAATAGGCAGATCACGCATGAAGGGTAAGACTTTTTTTTTTTTTTTTTTTTTTGAGTCCAATGAATTT